GCTTTACACGATAAAGTTTACCAGGAAACAAACATTTGTTTACTCTTCTCAGCAATGGACGCAATGCTGCATATTTTATTTTATTTATTTTTTTGAGACAGAGTTTTGCTCGTATTGTCCAGGCTGGAGTGCAATGGTGTGATCTCAGCTCACTGCAACCTCCACCTCCCAGGTTCAAGTGATGCTTCTGCCTCAGTCTCCTGAGCAGCTGGGATTACAGGTATGAGCCACCATGCCTGGCTAACACTTCGTATTTTTACAAGAAATGGGGTTTCACCATGTTGGTCAGGCTGGTTTCAAACGCCTGACCTCAGGTGATCCACCCGCCTCAGCCTCCCCAAGTGCTGGGATTACAGGCATGAGCCAACTTGCCTGATCAATGCTGCATGTTTATGAGGATTTTGTGAGGATTAAAGAGACCCTATATGCTCAGTTCATTGTAAGGGTTTACCAGGTGCCACTCACCTTTCCTCTTCACTAAAGCAGGCTGACACCCAGAGGAAGCACTGCCTCTCCTCTGAAGCTTCCTCAGCTGCAGCCTCTGTGCTCATTGCAAGGATCTCTCTGTACTGACTTATATTTGTTTCTGGTCTTTTATTTTTTCTCTATGGACAGACTTCTATTTTCAGAAGATACATATTTAAGTCACAATATTCTGGACTCTGGCTTAGTTAGACCAACCATCTATTGATTGTCTGTGGAAACTGAATCAGGAACACCCCAGAGAGCTGGCCCTGGACATAATTCACAGCTTCATTTAATTATTATCATCAAAGTTAATGAGGGCCATAAACTGTTTCATAACATACCAATGGGTGGTATGATTAGAGCGAAACCTGGACACCTCACCATAAAACTGGCACAGCAGAAAAGGCTCGGCTAAACAAAACCTTCTTCTTAAGAAGAAAAGGCAATGAAACCATGTTCAGTTTGATGAACCTTTCACACTTGGTAAAATGAATGTTAAGTCAAAAGAACAATGGAGTGTTGAACTCTTTTTTTACCTCAAATATTTATTTCAGGTCAAATAAGCAATTTTGTTTGTTATTAAGTGTAAAGAGAGCTTTGGGTTAGCTGTTTAGTTATAATTTTATCTCACCCACTTCTATAAAGGCTTTGAGACTACTTGAAGTAAAGTCCTGTAGACAAGAGAGCATTACATTAAAAGAGAGAAAGAAAACTTAGAAGATAGAAGAGAGATAATTGCATAGAAACATGGCTAATATCATGAACAGGCCCCCTGTAGGGACTCCTCTATATAGGTCTGTGTGATTGTGAATAATACATTCAATAAATATATTATCTGAACTGCTTTTAAAGTTTTACTCTTGGATTCCTGAAATAATATTTCTATGGATTTGCCTATTCTGCATGCTTCCTATAAATGGAATCATTCATTATGCAACCCTTTGTGTCTGTATTCTTTCATTTAGAATGATGCTTTCCTGGTTCATCCATATCACAGCAAGCATCAGTATTTTATCTCACTTTAAATCTCTGTAATTGTTACTATCTATCTGTCTATCTATCTATCTATCTATCTAATATATTTAGTGTATGTACATATATATTAATTTTGCTTATCAATTTATTTATTTATGAACATTTGGGTTGTTTCTACCTTTTGGCTATTGCAAATAGTGCTGGTATGAACATGGACGTACATATACCTGCTTGAGACTCTGCTTTCAGTCCTTTTGGATACCTACATCAGGGTGGAATTACTATATCATATGGTAACTCTATGTTTAACATTTTAGAATGTGTTTTCCCCACTCTGGGTGGAAAAAATACAAACACAAACCGTGGAAAAAACAAACTGCTTTTCCTTTGCTCCCATACCACAACAATTACACAGAAGATTTCTATGACCAAATGTGTGTGGGATTTTCTCCTACACACCAAGAAAGCAATCAGTTCTGCAGCAGACACCAGCTGGGTATCCTCTAATTCAATTCAATACTGACACTATCTACTTAGAGTTAGTGTAGCGCCCACAAGTTAAGGACTCAGTCCTATAAAACTGCTTCCATCCCACTTCTGATACCAATCACAAGAACAGGTTGTTTTGCCCACACTTCTGAACTGCTGGCTATAAATCGAGAGTCACATGATCTCCTCTTTAAATTTGATTAATTTGCTAGAGGGGCACACAGAAGTAAAGGAAACACTCAAGTTCATCAGTTTACTATTAATATAAATGATATTACGAAGGATAAAGATGAGATATATAGGGCAAAGTATTGGGGAAGGGGCTCAGAGCTTTCATGCTTTCTCTGGGCATGCCATCCTTTAAGAACATGTTCAGCTATCTAGAAGCTCCTCAAACCAGTCATTTTTAAATTTTATGATTGATTAAACCATTGGACATTAGTGATCAACTTAGCCTTCCGCCCCTTTTTCCTCCCCAGAGATTGGGAGATGGGGTTGAAAATCCAACACTCTAATCATTTCTTGGTCTTTCTGGGGGCCAGCCCCTATGATATGGTTTGGCTGTGTCCCCACCCCACCAATTCTCATCTTGAATTGTAGCTCCTGTAATCCCCACTTGTCATGGCACTTGTCAAGGGAGGGGCCTGTTGTGAGGTCATTGAATCATGGGGGCAGGTTTTTCCTGTGCTGCTCTCATGATAGTGACTAAGTCTCATGAGATCTGATGGTTTCTTAAAGGATAGCTCCCCTGCATACACTCTCTTGCCTGCTGCCATGTAAGACATGCCTTTGCTCCTCCTTCACCTTTTGCCATGATATGGAGACCTCCTCAGCCATGTGCAACTGTGAGGCTATTAAACCTCTTTTTCTGTATAAATTACCCAGTCTCAGGAATTTTTTCATTAACAGCATGAGAATGGACTAACGCACCCCATTTGAAGCTACCTACAGCTGTCAGCTACCAGTCATTTCATTAGCACACAACAAGACATTCCTTGGGAGATTCTAAGGATTTTAGAAGTTGTATGTCAGAAAACATGCCAAAGACCAATTACATATTTTACAGTATCACACCTACAATACATGTCTCACAGTCAATTAATCATACAACAAAGGTATGGAAAAACAAAAGTTTTAAGTCAATGTATGTCACACATACACAGGCTGCCATTTGCCATCCTAAGTGCCCATGATGGTGACAAGTCCTGGTGTTCTAAGTATAGCACAGGCCCCAGCAAAAGGAACAATAGGGATGGTCTGTTCCACTAATCTTTCATTCCCTCCCAGACACATGTGATACCAAACTTTGAGCTTTTGATGATAAAAGCCATGTACTGAATTTCCCTGCTGTCTCGAGTTTAGCTAAGAGCAAACTCCAACCCCCTTAATTGCTTCCTACTAACTAAGAGATGAAATGTACAGTATGATTGTATAGGATACTGGCATACTTCCCAGGTCATTCTAAATGGTAGCCTTCTAGATATGCAGACACCTAAAAAGAAATGGCAGGGGTTTCTGGGGCCAAGGGTTCTAGATTGGCATGTGACCTCACCCAGATAGCTGAGCTCCCTTTGCAGGCAGCATCCAGGTCAGGGGATCAGACAGAGTCTGCTGCAAAGCAAGCTGATGAAGAATATGATGGGGAGTCTTGGAGAGTCTGCTAATGCTGCCACAATCAAGCCACTAAGTTTGCTGATTCAGAACTCTTCAGTTACAATAAATAACCTTCTACTTAATATATTTTAGGGAGTTTCTTTCAGCAAATCTATTAGAGACAAAATGAAAATCACAGTCCTGAGAGAAGAAAATTAGTCATTTACAAAATTTTGATTCTCATTCTTAAGCCGCTGGGCCACAGTTGAAGGAAAAGCATAAAGTGTCAGATGGAGAACCCCCTACTGGGCCAGCATGATAAAAGTACTAGGTATATCCAGTAGCCAGAAATCACTAATACATTCCTATCCCTCCCTTTTTCCTATTTCCTACATAGCTAACTTCCTGCTCCACAGACATCTTAAGATTCTGATTCCTCATTATGAAAGGACAAAGGAAGTTGAGTCATCTTAGAACCTCATTACAATATGATAAACAATCTAACCTTAGTTCCTCCAATATATGTTTGTGTATTAGAAAGTAAGTTTTGAAATATGAGAGATACTGTCCTTATTCTTTTTTATTTACATAAATGCAAGCTCTTGCCTTTCTCAAAAAAGCAAGTACATAGAGAAGTGGTTTCTGGATCTCTGACTATATCCACAGAGAAAATAATTAGAGAGAAAATAATTAGAATCAAAGTTTGATGGACAAGCTATTTAAATTAGATGTCCATCCTCTGATTCCAGGCACTATGTAGACTCACACTGGAGAAGCTGGTCTTACAGCTGTTACAACATTGGCCAACCCATTTCATGAGGCCTGGCCTAGTTTTTATAGGATGTCAGTGTTTAGGAGCCAAGCCTCCATTGTTCTCTTCTGTTGGGAAAATCTCTGAGGCATTGTCTAACAATATGCAAAGTTGAATTTCTTTCTGACTCATTCTTTGGTTGAGTCCAGGAAATCAAAGAGAGCAACACCAGTCTGTGCTGAAAATGTGTAGTACATTGTGATTACATCATACATCAGGAGGCTTTGAATGTGTTGATGTGAAGGTAATAGATGGCCATATGAATGTGGCATAGTTACAAATAAATACAACACAGGAGGTAAGACTATATGGAACATATAGGTAAGCTCCGAGGACCCAGCCAGGAACCTTAGTGACCTCATAGATTTCCCTAGGAGAACAAATAACAGAATCTGACCAGCTTGCTTGAGATATCATGTAGGAGACGTCTCCATCTCTGGTCTTCTGACATGCTATCCATTCTACTTTGCCATATTCACCTTTTTATAAGGAGATTGGTTTTTTCCACAAATTTCGGAAAACAGGGGGAAGTAAGTGATGGATTCAATGCACTATTGCCTGGATTCTTCCCCTTCCCTTCCATATCCTACTGGGATTGATTCTCCATCTCTACTGCAGAATCCTCATATTTTTGATGTGAGATAAAAACTTAAGAAGAAGTGTTGTGCTCACTTTGGCACCACATATACTAAAATTGGAATGGTAGGAGAAAATTAGCATGGCCCCTGTGTAAGAGTGACATGCAAATTTGTAAAGTGTTCCTTTTTTTATTAATAAAAGATAAAAAGAAGCAGTGTTGATTAGAGAAAAGTAATACTAGTGATAGTAGCCAGGATACAAAACAACCGTGCAAAAATCAGTAACATTCCCATATAGCGGTAACATCCAAGTAGAGAGCCAAATCAGGAACACAATCCCATTCACAATAGCCACAAAAAGAATAAAATACACAGAAATACAGCTAACCATGGAGGCGAAAGACCTCTACAACAAGCATTTCAAAACACTGCACGAAGAAACCAGAGAGGACACAAACAAATGGAAAAGCATTTCATGCTCATAGAGAGGAAGAATCAAATTGTTAAAATGGCCACATTACCCAATGTAATTTACAGATTTAATGCTATTCCTATCAAACTACCAATGACATTCACAGAATTTGAAAAAGCTGTCTTATCACATGGAATGAAAAAAGAGCTGGAATAGCCAAGGCAATCCTAAACAAAAAGAAAACAGCTGGAAGCATCACATTACCTGACTTCAAACTAGAATACAAGACTACAGTAACCAAATCCTCATGGTACTGGTACCAAAACAGACACATAGACCAGTGGAACAGAATACAGAGCCTGGAAATCATGCTGCACACCTACAACCATCTGATCTTCGACCAACTTGATAAACATAAGCAATGGGGAAGGGACTACCTATTCAATGAATGGTGCTGAGATAACTGTCTAGCCATATGCAGAAGATTGAGACTGGACTCCTTCCTTACACCATACGCAAAAATAACTTGAGATGGATTAAAGATTGAAATCTAAAATCTAAACCTATAAAAACCCTGGAAGATTACCTAGGTAATAACGTTCTGACCTGGCAAAGATTTTATGTTAAAGATGCCAAAAGCAATTGTAAAAACAAAAAAATCAACAAATGGGACCTAATTTAACTAAAGAGCTTCTGCACAGCAAAAGAAATTATTGATAGGCAACGTACAGAATGAGAGAAAATATTTGCAAAACATGCATCTGACAATAGTTGAATATTCACAATCTGTAAGGAACTTAAATTTACAAGCAAAAACAACCCTATGAAAAGGTCAAAGGACATGAATAGATACTTCAGAAGAAGACATACATGTGGCCAACAACATACAAAAAAGCGCTCAACATCACTAATCATCAAAGAAATGTAATTCAAAACCACAAAGAAATACTATCTTATGCCAGTGAGAATGGCTATTACCACAAAGTCAAAAAATAACAGATGCTGACTGGATTATGGAGAAATGGGACACCTTATCCACTGCTGATGGGAATGTAAATTAGTTCAGCTATTGTGAAAAGAAATCTGGCAATATCTCAAAGAACTTAAAACAGAACTACCATTTGACCCAGCAATCCCATTATTGGGTATGTACCTAAAAGAATATTAATCATTCTACCATAAAGACATAGGCACATGAATGTTCACTGCAGTGCTATTCACAATAGCAAAGCCATGGAATCAACCTAAATGCTCATCAATAGTCAATTGGATAAAGAAAATATGGTACATATGCTGGGTATAGTGGCTCATACCTGTAATCCCAGCACTTTGGGATACTGAGGCAGGTGGATCACCTGAGGTCAGGAGTTTGAGACCACCCTGACCAACATGGTGAAATTCTGCCTCTACTAAAAATACAAAAAATTAGCTAGGTGTGGTGTTGGACACCCGTAATCTCAGCTACTCAAGAGGCTGAGGCAATAGAATCTCTTGAACCCAGAAGATAGAGTTTGCAGTGACCCGAGATCATGCCATTGCACTCCAGATTGGGCAACAAGAGCAAAAAAAAAAAAAAAGGAAGAAAGAAAGAAAGAAAGAAGGAAGGAAGGAAGGAAGGAAGGAAGGAAGGAAGGAAGGAAGGAAAGAAAGAAAGAAAGAAAGAAAGAAAGAAAGAAAGAAAGAAAGAAAGAAAGAAAGAAAGAAAGAAAGAAAAAGAAAATATGGTACATATACACCATGGAATACTATACAGCCATAAAAAAGAATGAGATCATGTTCTTTGCAGCAGCATGGATGGAGCTGGAGGCTGTTATCCTAAGCAAACTACACAGAAGCAGAAAACTAAATACTGCATGTTCTCACTTACAAGTGGGAGCTAAACATTGAGTACATATGGACACAAAGAAAAGAACAGACACTGGAGCCTACTTGAGGGTGGATCATGGGAGGAGAGTCAGGATTGAAAAACTACCCATTGAGTATTATGCTTATTATCTGGATGGTTAAATAATTTGTACACCAAACACGTGCAACATGTAATTTGTCTATATACAAACCTGCACATATACCCCGGACCTAAAATAAAAGGTTTTTAAAAAAGAAAAAAAAAAAAAAAAAGGAAAAAAAAAAAAAAAGAAAAACAAGAGAAAACAGTAGTGTCTACTTACTGAGGACATACTATGTGTCAGGTTAAATCCTTCACAGACATTTGGCACCAGAGGGTATCTAGAAAGCTAAGTCCAATGCTGTCATTATAAGCATATAAAACGACAACATTGAAAACCACTTCATGAACTACTAGCACACCACACTTTGGAAAACAGTGCTGAAGTGGAAGCCTCTCATTTATTAATTGTCCTCTATTTGCCAGAGATGTTTTAATGAACCTAGAAATTCATGTATACTAATGCCTTAAGGACTGAATGTAAAATGATTATTTTTGCAACTCTTGGAAGATATTCAGAAAGTTAGTTCCAATGTGTCTGGTAGTCTGAATCTGGCTAGTGATGCCAGGGAGCATCTCTTGTATACACTGGATGTAACAGAGGTTACTTAATTTAATCTTCAAAACACAATGGTTTTCAGATGAGAAATCAAGGTTGCAAACAGGCTGAGTAACTCATCCCTGATCACACCAATAATACTAGATAGAGTCAATCTTTCCACCCTTACCTAGGGGAGCAGTCCTCTCTCCAAGGCTGGCTAAGAAGCCCTTCTCTAAGTTTTAGATAGTTCCCACAGACCCTTTTTGTCAACCCCAAAGCCAAGAAGTTGAGAAAAGCTTGCATTTGGGGTCTTGTTGGAGTCTGACCTCCAAAAAACAGCTATTGGCTCTCCCTAGCTAAAAGCTTCTCATTTCCTTGACAGATACAGATGAGGGGACGGAAGGCAGCAAACCACACTGCCATGTGTGTAACCTAGCAACAATCTTGCATGTTCATCACATGTACCCCAAAACCTAAAATGCAATTAAAAAAAAAAAAAGCTTCTCATTTCCTAAGACCACTTATTTGGGTTGCATTGCAAAGACCAGATGGAGCTAAAACAGGCAAATTCATGCTCCACAAAAAAATATGATCAGATTATTTAGAAAACTCAAGAAATAAGAAGAGTAGCCACATTTAATGGGAAACAATTAGCAATAACATTTGAGAAGGGCTTTGACCTGCATTTCCTAATATATTAGGGCAGAACTTGGTGACTCATGACACAGAATCATTTTCTTTGGAAAAGTATTTCAGACTTTTCCAGAAATATTTAGTGAACTTGGTTTTTTTTTAAAATGTATTCCAACACACGTAGTTCGAGTTGATTTTGAATGTCAAGATCAACCTTCCTTTGGATCTGTGGGAAAACTTCATATAGCACAGGACGATAGAACGTACTTTCTTCTCAGTATCATGGAAAGACTTTTCTCATCAGCTTCTACAGGACAAACATCACAGAAAAGACATTCATCCCACTGACTCACTCAGGCTCCTTAAGCATCAGTAGATAGCTGCCTCTTTCTTTTTATTTTTGAAAAATCTCTTGTGAAGTATTTCTGACAATAGCATGGAGGAACCATCCCCATGATTCAAATACCTCCACCTGGTCTCTCCTTTAATATGTGGCTATTATGGGAATTATGCAGAATTATAATTCAAGATGAAATTTGGGTGAGGACACAAAGGCTAACCATATTAATTTGTTTCTAATTTTTGCTACTAGAAATAAATACTACGTATACATTATTCTATGTGTTTTCTTGGGTGCATATGTGAGATTTTCTCTAGCATATGTTCTTAGAAATGTAATTGCTGGGTCACATGCTTATTTTCATCTTTATGAATATGGCCCCACTGCTTTACAAAGTGATTGTACAAATTTTCCCTCCAACCTAAAAAGTTTGAGCTTCTGTTTTTCTATATCCTCACCAACACTTAGTATTTTCAGTCAATTTCTGCCATTTGACTATTATAAAACATTATCTCAATGTCTTTTCAATTCATATTTACTGATTATAATAAGGTTGAGGGTTTTTTTAATGTCTTTGTGAAACATTTGGGTATTTCCTTCTGCAAATGATGTTTTTATATCATTTCTCCATTTCTCTAGTGGGATTATTGGTTCTTATTATCCATTTTTAACTATCCTTTATATGTTGCATGTAAACATATTGCAAATCTCTTATCCATGTCTATACTTTTCTTTTCCTTTTTTCTCTACTGTGTCTTGAAGCATAGTAATATTTTAAAATGTTAATCAAGTTTATCTTCTTTGTTTTTTCTCTTTGTACCTTTAAAAAAAAACTATCTCCCCTACCCCAATATCACAGATATTTTCCTTTACCTTTTTATAGAATAATAAAAGGTTTTATTTTCATATTTTAGATTCTTATTACCCATAGCATTGATATTTGCATATAGCATGAGATACAGATAAATTTTATTTTTTTCATAATAGATAACTATTTGTTTCAAAATCATTTGTTAAATAGACCATCCTTTCAACATTGATTTATAATACAATCCTCTGAGATACCAGTTTCGCATAATTATGAGTAAAGTTCTGGGTCATGTATTCATTTCATTGGTTTGTAGATCTGGCCTTGTGTCCAAATCACAGTGGCCCAATTACCATAGTTTGAAAAAAAAATTTTTTTTAATGGGGTCTTGTTGTGTCACCCAGGCTGGAGGGCAATGGTGCAATCATAGCTCACTGCAGCCTTGAACTCCTGGGCTCAAGCAATCCTCCCACCTCAGCCTCCCAAGTAGCTAAGATTGCAGATGTGAGCCAT